GTGTCTATGTCAGAATCTCTGACTCTTTCTAAATCTCTCTGAATCCATTTGGAAGGTTCTGATTTGATTTGGAGAGATTAAAGGGTCCTCTGACTCGACTCGGATTCAAAGATTCAGCCCCCAAATCAAATCAAGGACCAAAGCTTCGCACAGTCCTACTGTTTTTGTGATTTTTACAGACCTACCGTGAGCAGATGAACAAGGTCCTTATTAGCTTCTAGGGGAGGTGCCATCTCTTGGAGTTGTATCAGCTCATTTATATGATTATATAAAGAATACAGTTTATGTATATTAATTTTTTTGTCCTCTAAGTAGTTTGGCATGGCCTCATAGAGGGAGATCAGGTCTTTCAATTGGACCCCAAGAATCGGAATCTTAAAGTTAGTGCACTCATTATAGGCACGTCGATAGTTGTCATAGTTCCTATAAGATGAAAGCAGTTCGGTCAGTTCATTAAACACCTGAAAAGGAAACAGAGTGGAAAAATTAATAATGTCTTAAGTGTTCATCATTTTGTTCATTATAACTATTTTCTGTCTTCAGATGGTATAGCAATAACCCATATTATTGTTCAAAGACTTGTTTTGTCCTCCAAACCAAAATTAAGAGACTAATACTTCAAATGTTTTAAAGTGAAAATTAGTTTACAACTATTTTTATTATGCACACACCCTTCAATTTAATAATATTAAAAAGCACTTAATCTGCCAATTTTAGCTTCACAAATTAGTATGATTTGTAGCTACGTATCTTAAAAAATAGTGGCTCAAGTCACCATCCCCCATTTTTTTCTTTCCTGACTTACCAGAGCTTATCTGGAATTTCTTGATCAGAAAAGTCATTTAATTGCTATCAAATATGTATGCAAAAAATTCATTTCAGGACTGAGACTCTATCAAGTTGATCCTACAATGGTATTATCAGAATACAATTATGTGGAGAATGCTTTATCCCCCCCCCCAAATCTGTATCTCTTAGTAAGTGTGAGGGTGGTCTGAGTTCTGTGAAAAGAAATAACTGAGCAGTTGTGGAAGGCTGTAATTCTGGCTTATGCTATAAACTTGTACCTTTCGTTAAGTGTTGACTGGGTGAAAGAGTATTCAAGAGCCAAGATCCTCTGGTACCTAACATGAAACATTTCTGGCTCTAAAAGGCACTAGTCTACTAAGGACTGTATTCACAATTTATAAATATTAAGTCATTTTGTTATTAGACCTGGGAGGAAAAGTCTGCATTTGATCATTTTTAACTGAACAAAATAATAAAATTGTACTAAGCAACTTTCTTAAAATTATGCAGCACTCTAAAACTTTCTTATCAAATCTCTGCCAGCTTGGTCATGTTACAAGTTGTTGGAAAAACAGGCATTATAATGAAAATTGCTATGGATCACTAGCATTCTGCTGTATTACACTGCACATTTACCAAGAAGAAGGAACAAAAATCTTTTCATTTGTATTACTTGAATCTGAACTAGACAACATTTACTGCATAGGGAACAATTCTGTATTACAAGGGGGTAGACCCTTTGAGCTGAAAAATCTCTGCCACTTTTGATCCCTGATCCTGCACCAAGGATCTCCATACCAATGTAGAGGACTATACTAGCATTCCATAAGTCACATGTAGGCAGGTACTGTATTTACTCATTTTCAAGATGAGGTTTTCCCCCTCATTTAACATGGTGGGGGATAAAGTCATCTTGGAATCAAGTAAAAGGTGGCAAGGGCAGGTGCTGCAGCTCCAGAGCTGCCTACCCCCTGCCACTTCAGCACCCCCGGTAACTCCCCTCAGCAACCTTGGCCCTTGTTGTTCCCTCCCCCACCACCCCCTTCCCATCCCCCGTCCCCCCCACTTGCTGCTTCTGCCGCCCCCTCCCCCTTTACCCTTTCTTGGGCACCGGTAGATTGTCCATACTTTAGCCTGGAGCATGGAACAAAGCTCCCATCTGGCCCCAGAGCAGCAGTGCTTGGCTCTCCACCACTGCTGTGGGGCCAGGCTGGAGCTGTGCGCCATGCTCTGTGCCCTAGGATGGAGCCTGTTGGCATGGAACAATGGTATGTGGGAGGGGAGCGGAGGGGAGGAGATAGGGTATAGGGGGGCACAAGTGGCATGGAGGAGA